GCTAATAGAAGTTGGCTTGAAGAGGTATAAAATTGATTATAAGTATTGATATCAAAAATATTTCAATCAATAATACTTTTTTTATTTATTATTTTTTTTAGGCTGAAATGCAATTAAAATTAAGTAATAAATGGAAAGGATTTATTGAAAGTTTCGGCATTACTCAAGACCCAATTAATAAAGTTTATTTTCTTGTAATGTGGTTGTTAAACACAGATTTAAGAAAATATTTACAACAAAATCACAACAAACTTACATGGATAAAAAGATTAGATATAATCATGGTCATAATCGTTGCAATTCGTCATCTTCATGATGAAGGTGTAATTCATAGAGATTTGCATTCAGGAAATATATTATACAAAAAATACACTAATTCCTGGTATATTAGTGATTTTGGATTTTGTGGACCTGCTGATATGCCATTACAAAGTATATATGGAAATCTCCCGTACATTGCACCTGAAGTTATTTCTGACAAAAGAAATACTAGGGCATCGGATATTTATAGCATTGGTATGCTTATGTGGGAAATTTCATCTGGACAACCACCTTTTGCCGGTATTGATCATGACTTTAATCTTGCAATGAAGATAATAAATGGAATAAGACCAAAAATTGTGTCTAGAACTCCATTAGGAATTAAAGAATTAATTGAACAATGTTGGGATGCTGATCCATCTAAAAGGCCTAATATAGGTACTCTTGATAAGAAAGTTGCAGAAATAAGAAAATCATATTACCAAAATGAAAATGAAGAAAATCTAGCAAATAATGATGATAGATACCTTAATGTTAAATCAAATACGAGCTCTAGCTCTAGCTCAATTTATCAATCATCTAGAAGTAGCTTATATGCATTTAGAAATTTACCTAAGCCGAGAAATGCTATTGAAGGTAAGTTATTTATTTTAATTGTATTTTAATTAAAAATAATCATTTTATTTCAAATTATTAAATAAATCGCATTCTTTTTAAAAACCAAAGATTATGATAGTAAACAAAATGATTTTAGCATTCCAAATAGTAAGTACTATTAATTTGTTTTTTAAATGTAACTTTTAAAATTTTTTAATAAATCAATTCATCTATAGGTATAAATTCTGAATTACAAAGCAACCTTAAAGAAATTCGATCATACAGTATTGAAGGTATGATGTACTAATTTTTATTTAGGTTTTTTCAACAAAATGCAATTTTTATTTTTCGAATATTAACATTAAATACAATCGATCTTAATTTACATCATAATTTACACTTTCATTTTAAAACTTTAAATTTAGCAAATGATTCAAGTATTAAAAACGAAAAAACAAATCCTGATAATAAAGGTAAATAAATAAAGACATATCTTGTTATTTATTCTTTACAATAAAATATATTAACATTTCTATTTTTAGAAACTCTTATAAAATATAATAGTAATAAAGCATTTCAATATACAACACTATCGAATTATTTTGAAAACGGTAAGATTTAATTTATTTATTTATAATATTAATTTTATTACTTTTTTACGCTAAAATTTAATTATAAAATTATGCACGTAGATGAAAATGAAATAGAAATTTAATATTTAAAATTTATAATTGAATTTCTTAATAATTATAGTATATTTTAATTTTATTGTATTTATAGATTTTTTATATTATAGCGCTGCAAATCAAAATAAATGCAAATAAAAAAGATATAGAGTTTTATAAAATTTAAATTTGTTTAGTTGAAAATGACTAAATTAATTCGTTAATTTTAAAATAGAACGCAACTACGCATCAGTATTTATGAAGACTAAACTATTATAATTATCGAGCGTTTTTATCATTGGAGAAATTCATTTAAGTAATAAAATACAGTTATATGTATTATCAAAAAAATAAAAATAAAAAAAATATATATTTTTTGTTTTCAAATTACGACTATAAAAAATGCTGAATAAATTTCTTAATTAGCTCAAAATTTACGTTATCAGCCACAAATGTTTATTTTAGAAAATTAAACTTTTTCCTATCTTGATAAATATTGATATCTGAGTAGCTTCATATTAATGACTGTGAATTAAAATAAAGTATTTCGCTACTTAATTTCATGATGATGAAAATTTATAAATGAGTATTCATGCCTGCTGAATAACTTTGCTAAAATATTGGGAAAAAAATAAGGGAAAAAGGAAGAACAAAGGCGCAAACTGCTTATAACAGGTAAAACAGTATTTAAGTGAGCTGAATGCGTACCTATATTATAAATATTTCGTTTTGAAACCCACAAGTTTATTACAAAAGTTACATTAGATTAGATTTTTTTTTTGATCTTTAGCTCTTTAATATAAGCATTTCTTTTAGTATTCTTTGGATCGTATTCTTAATCAAAGAAAGACAACTTGTGAAGTTTGGCCAATGTGAATGCTCACGTGATTAATACAGGATTAACCACCTAATTTTTTTCATGAAGTAAAGAAACTAGTACGTAAAAGGTTAAAAACAATTTAAATACCATAAAGGGAATTTTTGAGACACCGATCAAATTTGATTGGATGATAAATAAGA